TACAGTGTGACAGCGTGGCTTCTGTCGTTGTTTTGAACGCCTTACCCCTTCAGACCCCTTCCCCTAAGACGCACGTGTCGGCACAACAACGCTTATTGACAGATAGATGCTTTCATATCGCGAACCCCTTCCCCGCGATTGTTGAGAGCATCGACCTGGACACTTTTAGTTTGATGCTTGAGACTTTGTCTAAGACTTTGAAGCCCACTGAATGAACACGGGGGCGGATGTGCCGTACCTTCGCCAACAGATAGCATTTAGACTTACTCAGTGCGATGCGCAGAGTTGCGGCTCAGCCAGGTCGACCAGCTGCGCCGCTCGATCACCTCACTGCAGGCGACACGCTCGGAGCGAGTTTTGGCCTGCCAAGCAGGCGGCATAGCTGGCGAACTGGCTCCACCAACGACCCTGCCGCCCAAAAGGTCAGTGGTTCTTGCCCAGAGACACTTTTTTCAGGTTCCTTCCTTTGATTTCATGCAGGTCCATCCACTTTGACTTTAAGACAGTCGGCCCGGAGGTTCCTGCTCAAAGACTCAGGGGCCAGGGTCCTTGAAGGTTTGGTTTTCGCATTGGAAGCTCCGAGGCCACTGGAAACGGGATGAGACCTAGGCCAAGTTTGGGGAAGGCAACTTTTAGTCGGCAGGCAGAGATGAGGCGGTCGCACGACCCCAGTGAGCGCCGTGCTCGGAGCAGATGGCTACACGAGGTTTGCTCAGGGTCAGCCATGGTTGATTTTGGAGGGACACTCAGGAAGTTAATGTGTTGTTTTTCTTGGGGACAGTCATTTGGACCGTGGCTCAAGTAGAACAACAAGACACCCTCGCAAAATCAGCCTCGGCGGTATCCTCAACAGACACCCCTTGAGACCCCAAAGCAAAACACCCCAAAGAGCCCCGGAGCCCTCAAATCCCATCCGTGCCTCGGAACTTGCGGCTGATTCAGCCTGAGGGGGGTTGCCTTTGGTCGCCAAAGCTTGCCCGGGGCCCCAGTTGCGAGGGGGTGTGGGGCGGGTATTGAAGCATGCTTGTGTCAACCTAAGACATGACATGTGTGAGCAGAAGGGTGAGACAATTAGGTCTGGGCAAGTTCCCTGCGCTCGCTTAGATCAGGACGCAAGTCAATTGCCATCAATGCGCCTTGTTTTTGTCGTTCTTTTGTTTTTTCTTCCTTTTTTCTTTTTCTCACGAGGTTTTTCAGAAGCTTGACCGCCCAGTGCTGTTCGTGCACTCCATTTTGCCGTGTTCGCAACCCAGACATCCCCATCTCCTGAAGCCCGAGGGACTTCGCTGGAGTCTCCCGTGCCCTTTCTCACCGTGGCTTTTTTTGGTTGGGAGATGTGGTTCCCCTAAAATAGACTACAGAGAAAAAATCGGGTACCAACTTATTCTAACCTCTTTACAGGAGGACCTAGATGAGGTTAACGCTTGGATCTGTTCTTTTTGCTAGCTGCCCGCGTGCAGAGGATTAATGCAATCATCCAGCAGCCTTCCGCAGAGATGGCTTAATGCCCTCTGCAAGGTTTGCAGAGATTGCCCCGTGCGGCTGCAACATTGCAAGCCCAGGCAACAAGCAAACAGAAACGGGCGAACACATCTTCTCAAGACATAGTCTTCAGTTGCTTGCCCCGAATGGCAGGCTGCCAGTGGCTGGTGGCAGCTTCGCGCCCTATGGAGGTGCAGAGTCCAGAGTGTGTGGCTAAAGCCCTGGTGCATGGGTCCCGTTGGCACCCAACACTTGCGCATCTTGGACCTGTGTTTCCATGCTGGGGGCATGTGTTGTTTTTATGTTTGAGGCTTGTTGCGGCAGAGCTTCTTCACCATCTCGACCCAAGAGTTGGTTTGGCCGGCATGGACTCCGGTCACAAGGTTTGTCAGCATTCAGGAAGGAGTTCCAGACCTATCTCACTAGTGAGTGGGTAGGCCCGATGGATGTGAGGGACAAATATTCGGGGATCCTTCTGTCACGGCAGGCGATGCAGAGCCAGGCAGCGCCGAGGTGTCGCCCACCTCAGTGGCCGGCTCAGTCAGAGCATCGGCCGCAAGCTTCATGGGCCCCAAGTCGTAGAGCTTCCTGTTGGAAGCGGCATGAAGCGGCTGACCATCCAAAGACCAGACTGGGTACAGTCTACAGTCAAGTCAGCTTGGTTTTCTCGGGTTTCCCTCGAGCCACGTTTGGCCTCTTGGCTCAGCCTGGTGAAGCGCTCGGCATCGCATTGCACAGGCCAAGAACAAGGCGGACTTAGATGCCTGGCTCAAGGCCGGGCGGGATCGAACAGGCAAAGCAGGAGGGAAGACTCAGGATTTGCCACGAGCTTTCGCTTTGCTTGGTACTCTCTAGTCTTAAAATCTGCTTTTCACACGCGTCCACATAGAGTTGCGCGTGAGGTGTGCAAAGAGGAATGTCCAGACGAGGACATCTAAGTCTGTACGCAGCTGTGAATTCACCAGAGTCGTTGGCCAGGAAAAGGAGCGCCAAGCCCAGAAGATCAAGGACCGATAGGTTTCGCTACAGTTTGCGGGAAAGGGCCGTTTTCAAGGGAAACCAATGGGCAGTTAAAGGAATTGAAAGAAAAACCAATCGAAAACCGAAGGGGCTCTCAAACTGAGACCGCCCCCTGTTGCAGAAGGGCTGAGTCAACATGACGCTGCACAGGGCAGAAACCTTGCAGGAGTTGCTTGCTTCATTGCTTCAAAGCAGGTGCGTTGTTTCCGGGGTTGCGCATTGAACTCACAGTTCTCCGCGTTGCCTTCTCATCAGATTTTCGTCTGGATGATCATTGGCTTTGACGGATTTGTCCAACCAACATTGGAGACGTCCAGGGCTGTTCTATCTTGCCGTGTGCCAGCACAGGACCATGTGGAAGAGATCGCCAAGGCGCAGCGCAGAGCGGAGGCTGGAGAGCATGGATCTGCTTTCTCCACAGGGCTAAGCGAATCTGAGCAGGGTCCCTCTCCCCGTGCCTTTGCGGTGGTTTTAGGCGAACTGGGGCCCCTTGATGTCCCTCTTCGGGTGGTGTTGAGCATCACTGCGTCCCTTTTTTTGCCTCAAGCCAGGTGAGGTTCATTCCATTTCTCATTCCCTACTTATCGCACCGGCAAGTTAAGGGGAACTCTAGGCATTGCGGCATTGGCCAACCTTTGTCCAAAGCTGACGCGGCGTCCAGACCTGGGTCTTGCAAGTGGAGGTTGGCCGCATGGATGAATCTCGCCGAGCTAAGCCGGCAGTGCTTAAACCACAATTTACTCGCTGCCTTTCATGGTTGCCCGTTTTTTTTTTTTTTTTTTTTTTTTTTTTTTTTGTTGTTGTAACTAGTTTATTTATTTATGTCGAGTTACTTTTCTGTTTCTCTATGTATTGCTATAGTTGTTTGACGCTAGTCCGGCCCAACTTCCCGCCCTCATTTTTGCCATGCGATTTGTCGTGGGATGCAGATCTTGCTGTTCAAAGTCAGTTGCTTCACATGCCAGGAAGTTGACTGCCTGTCATCATAGATTCTTCCAGGCACTCCATATCTATAAATACATATATACGTATATATGTATATATATATATATTACGTATGTACGCATATGCGAAGCCTAGCCATGCACATTGACCGCCAGGACGTTGGCCGGAACCTTCAAGAGAACCTGGACCTGCTGGCAGAGCTCCGAAGCCCAGAGAATCCGTTCGAATGGAGCCATAGGCCGTTTTTCTCCTTCTTTTCTGTCTTTTTTCATTTTTCTTCTTTTTGTTCCCCTTTTTTTCCGGTTCTGAGTCAGAGAACGGGGGCAGGTACACCAGATGTTAGGTCTACAGCTTATGTTTGCTCTTGTGACTTGTCGCTTCGTGTCGCGCAGTCTTCAGGCGGTTGCAACCGAGCCTTTCCCCCCCACTCCTTGGGTCGTGTGTTTGTGTTTGTGCCGCGCACCGATTTCTTCCCCAGAGCCAGTTTTTTCTGGTTGCCTGTGAGTTCTCCTGCTTTAAAGTCTTGCGCAAGCAAGCCGTTGCCCAATGTAGAATATGAGGCTTCAAGTGCCTTGGGCCCGCTACTGCGGAGCCCGGCAGGTGTGCCACTTCGTAGAAAAGGGAGCCACAGGGAGTTCATGGCTTTCTGAGCGCCGAAATTGAGTCGTACAAGGCGCAAGAAGTTGTGCATTCTTGCGCATTACGAGGGCTGTACGGCTAGACACTGCCACGGCTCGGGCGCCCGGGCTGAGGCTGAGGCGAAAGGCCCGCACCGCTGAGGCGGGGTGGTGTTCAGTTGACGTGCCGGGGCCGTTGGGGCCGGGGACTTGGGAAATCCCAGCCTTCCAAGGCACCCGTGCAGTGGGAAACCGGATTGTCAGGTGGGCAACTCAGGCAGGGAATCGGAAGGGAGGTGCATGTCACCTTGCCCTGGAGAGGGGGGCGCTTGGCCTCGCATTTCCAGGGACTGCCATGCATTTGATAGGCTAGACTGCAAAGGCCTGCTATATATATATATATTGGAGGCCTCATGTATATATATATATACAATATATATGTGATATGTCTTGGCATGGCCCCACCTTCTCGATATCTCTCGGGCCCTTTCCGGCAGCTATTCTGAGTTCGCTTCTGGCAGGCGGTTAGACTTTTTTGGGGAGGTTGTCACTGTAGCAGAAAGGCTAAGCCGCAGGGGTCGGACTCTCCGGAATTCGGGCTGGAGTCTCCAGATTTTCTCTGTTCGTCCCTGTTGCAAGGGAAACATGATAGGGGGAGCCCCGAGTTGGGCGCACCAAGTTAATTGCCACGGCAAAGCAGGACCTCTCAAATTGAAGGGGGCGGTAGATGTTTGGTTTGGGCAGCAAGGCAAAGGTGTGCTTTGGACGTCCAACAGCTGCACCCCAGCTTGATGAATCCGAAATACTGGGTGAACAAAACCCAAGGAGTTATGGGTGCGGGTGGACCTGCGCTGACTTCAGATCTCAATCCGAGGCAAATTTTCAGATCGGCCAGCGACCCCCCACGCCTCGGGGTCCCGCAACTTTTTTCCGGCCATGGGCATGGGCCAGTCTTGCGCCGGGTGCGCGGGTGGCGACAAGGCCCCGGGATGGCGTCCGCGCCAAAAGCGCGCGGTGGATGAATGGGGATGTTTTGTTCCACATGTTGCTTTTGTATTGGGCCACATATCCTGGGGTGGCCTCTTGTGCACATAACCTGGGGTGGCCGCTCTGTAGGGTTTCAGCTGAATAGCATTGGATTCAGACGGTCTAGGAGCCTTGCCAGCAGCAAGCCACGGGTCCCGAGAGGTCCTTTGGCGCCCAGTCAATTTGGCCTCCGTGTGCTGGAGTGAAAGCAAGTCCATACGGAACCACCCAAGATTTGGTGAGGTAAATAGGACTGACGCAGAACAATGCACCTTGGTCTCAAGGACAACCAGCTCGTCTTCGGTCTCAGTTCACGTGACGCCCCTGCCATCGAGCCCATCGTGGATCCGCTGAACGTGCTGGGAGATGACCTGTTTGACGACAAGGCTGGGGGACATGGCTGCAATCATGACGATGTGCCTAGTTTGGTGTGACATGTAGTGAAATTGGTGCATATGGTCAGCCATGGTCAGCCATGTGACGAATTGTGGTGCGACATGCCGGTCCTCACGTCTGAGGTGTGCTCCGAGGGATTTCCAGGCCCCAAGCTGCTACTCAAAGCCCGTAGCCGTTGAGAAGAGCAGCCGCTAAGTATGCTGAAGGAGTTGTTGAGTTGGTTTTTTGTTGGCATTGTGTTCGGACAAAGTTGGCCAATCATCGGAACATAGCTTTGGATGAGCAGCAGTGGCTTCATGGTAAGTGCATAGCACACAGTTTTGCAGAGAATGACTAACACCCAAAACCTACCCTTAAAAACCAAGCATACCTACACGACGGGTCTTGGAACACCTTTTGCCTTTTCAGGGGACCGTGCACGTTCTATGTTTGCTGTTGGGAGGGTGTCTACTTTTTGCTCCAGAGGGGAAATAACTCTGCCCCTGCTTCCTAAGGAACGACCGGCCACGAAAACCTGCATGGTTCCCAATTCTTTGGCTGGTAGCAACCGTAGGGAATTGAACGTGGCGGAAGAGGTGTCAAGTGGCGCGAGCGGCGGATGAACCATGACCTGCTTTGTTCAAACGCAATTCCTAAGCCTTGTCTTGGCGTCTCACCCGAAACGGACTCTATTTGAGTGTGACTCGCTGTTGAGGCTACCCTTTTCAAGTCGGTTTGGCAAACCAAATGCCACAAGGGCAACACTACCCATTTTTCCTCGGGGGGATTTGGACATATTCGGACATACGCTCCCGCCAACTAACATGGAAGTGCACAAAGCCGCGTTCCAAGAGGACAGTAGTCTTTCTACAGGGGTCTGTGCACCTCCATGTTTGCGTGTTAGTCGGTGGGAGGGCATTCCCATTTTGAAGACTCCAGTTGCCAGGTGATGTCCTTGAAGTTGCCCCCTGCGGTGATGAAGCGCTTCCAGGAGTGCCTCATCTCTGGGCAGCCCACCAGCGAGGAGGAGTCGACTTTGTTTTTTCTTCTAAAAAGCCGCCATGATTCGAGGCGGTTCCCCCAAGATTCACAAGAAGCCCTGCTAAACATTGCTTGTTTGTTCATTTGGAGGGGTGTGCAAAGTACTAGTGGTTCAAAAGATGAGGTAGATTGGTCTTGTTATGTTGGATCAATTGTAGACACGGCATTCTGGGTCGGCCTTTCTTCTTTGGTGGTTGCACCGGTTCCATCGGCAAAGGGCAAGCAGCTGCAAAGAACACCCAGCTGCTGAAATTGCGACCTTGCCCACAGCCAGAGGGGACCTGGCAGAGGTTCTAGCAAGTGGTTTTGGCAAGTGGTTTTAAGGCAGCACACTTGAGAGTGAAAAAGATCTTGATTTGACATGCCATGAGTCGCGTGACATTTGGCCGACAATCCATGCCATTGATGATTTTCCGTGGAAGTCCGTGAGCAACGAACTGGCAAACTCTTTCCTCATGCCTCAATTCAGCAATTTCAGGGCAAAAGTCGACCAAAGCCACCAGAGGCGCGGGAAACGCCCTGCATTTCGCGGGGACTCCCATGTTAAAGCTTGCCAAACTCTGGGGATTGCTGCAGGACATGAAGGTTATCGCCAAGATCATGTTTGGCTGGGCCCGCGAGCGGGGCTGCATCGATTTTGCCCACTGGTTTTTCCCCACGCGCGGCGGCGGAGGTGGGACTTGATGGTTGACCCGGTTTCGAACAACCCTCCCACCCTCCCTTTTGACAGGGGGGTTCTGGTTTGGATCATTTTCCTTTTAGAGAGACCGAATCCCTGTCATGTTCCATTTTAGTTGGTTGTCCGTTGCTTGTATATCTCCAAGGCCAGTGATAAAGTGCCCAAGCATCTGACAACCTTTGGAACTAGACTCGGCTGCTTCATTCTTCCGACTCGCGTCAAGACTCTCTGCGGGGCTGTCGAAGACTTTGGCTGACGCTTTGGCGCTGCGAACGAACACATCTCCAACTTTCACCCCCAAATAAGTCGGCCGGCGCTCGTATGCGATCGTTTCTCCAGGCGCAGTGGGGGGCATGCTGGGAGCCTACAAGCAGGACACCTTGATCGACTTGGACTTCGGCTCCAAGTTCGTCACCAAGCCCATGAAGGCCGGCCAGTGGAAAGCGGACGCTGTCCAATGGATGAACAATTCAGCCGGGTGTTCCTTGATTTGGGATGTGCACACCCCATCAATAACATCCCATCCGCATCTCAGCCAACGCACGAGCATGATTTGACTATTTTGGCCGTGGCAAGGTTTCTCGCTTGAAATATCCTGAAATGCACCGCTCAGAGCAAAGGGGCCTCACCGGGCATTTCCAGGCGGTCTTGTGGGACACCCGGTCTTGAATCGAATGATTTGGGTGAGGAGGATGTCAGGCGGCGGGAAGGGGAACCCCCACCGTTTGGAGGCATCACCGTAGGTAACTCCTACTTAAGCCGTTTGAGGCAGATGGCGGTGAATGTGGCCCCTCAACTCCCCGTGTCCACGAAGGGGTCCTTCGCAGCCACGCCCCGGCCACGAGCCGAGGCGTGCCTGCCACACGAGCGCCTCTTTCAGGGTGAGACAGATGGGTCCTCCTTCCCCAACGGCGGGCTTCGCCACGCGGCAAGAGGGTCGGCGCTCCGGACGTTTTTTCGTTGCTATACCACCTGGCAATCACCTGGCAATCGCACCCGGATTGTTGAAGCCCTTCTAGTTAGCAACTATTTGTTTTGATAACGGAGATCTTCGTCTAGTAACCCCTTCCGTTTGCTTCTCTGATCTCAGGGGAACTAAGGAAGCCCTTGATTTTGCCTCTGAATCGCCAGGGCTTTGTCGCTGAATGTGGTTGCCTTACGTACTTCTATGGGGGACTCTGCATCAGCCGGAATTCTTGGCCGGAAGGCGGCCTTTTGCAAGCAAACATCTGATATTCCAAGGATTCAAAGGCAATAGGGTTGATTCCCGAAGATTGGTTTATCGCATGAACCATCCGATGCTTGGCATGGGCCCAGGGTCCGTTGCTTGACCTTGTGGTTCATAACCAAACTTGATCTACCGCAAGCCAATGCCAATGGGCCAATGGGGTACGATCCCTCGGAATCCAGAAACCATGAGTCGTTGCCATGACATGAGGCGTCCAGTGCGGCTCAGCTAGATACTAAGATTTAGTCCTTGGTATTGCTCTCCCTCCCTGAGTTCATGGACTTGTCCTACTTTTCGGGACGACGGCCATCTTGCCACACAAAATGCTCTTGGCTAAATGTTTGGCTCTCAAACATGGCCGCCTTGGTTGTGTCCCGGGCCTTTTCAAAGCCTTCCTTGGCTTGAAATCTGTTTTTGCGGCCAAGTGAGGGTGACAAAAATGCTTTCCCCTGTGGGAAGCCCAAAAGCACCCGACCGTTTTGGTTTTTCCCTGCCGTGCGGTGAGGCGTGACGCACTCCGCGGCCGCCTTCACCACCTGGGACCGCTCCTCCCCGCCCTTCGCCCCTGGGGCTGGCACCATACTTGGCACCAGGGGCCTGAGAAAGCAAAAAACTCAGCAAACATCAGCCACTTCACTGGTGGTGGGGGCGGTTTTAGGTGTTTGTTTTGTATTTGTGGGTGGGGTTCTGTTCATTTTGAATAGGGGGCCGGGAAAAAAAGAGAGTTGTTTGATAGTTGCAAAGTTCCATTACCAAAGACCCCCCGCCCGTGGCATTTCTGTTTTTTCACTGCCTGGGGTTGGAGTTGCGTCCAGGTCCTGAACAAGACGCTGTACATTCCCTGCGCGTTTATCACCCACTTCGGGAAGTGCATTGACGAGAAGACGCCGCTGCTGCGGTCCATGGATGCGGTGAAGAAGGAGGGCCTCCGGCTGCTGAAGGTGCGGCGGGGGAAGACACCCTGTGCATAGGGGGCATAGGCGTCCTTTTTGTGCTACTAGCTGGTGGTTGGAAGGGAGCCAAGGAGCCGGGGGTGTCCAAATTTCCTCCATGTAGGGAGCTAAGGAGCTACCAGGAGTTCTGTAAGGACCTGAGGTTGGTTTGGTTAGAAACAGATGGGTTACACTGGTTTAGATGGGTTTGTTTCATTTGCCAGGGGAGACCCGTCGATTTCTTCAAAGCGTCACGTATGTACAAGGGGGTGTTGTGTTTGGTCCGCCTCAAAGATTCATCAAGTGCATTTGGCCAATCACTTGGCCATTGGGCGCTGAAATTGTCAGCTTGTCAGCTTGGCTTTTGCGGGGATGCGCGCGACAAACCAACTAGGCCAACAGATGCACCTCTATGCTCAGGCCCAAACCACTGGATTTGGCACATCTGGTTGCTGTGCTGGGTCAAGTTGCACGTTGCACACTGTCTCGCATCCACGTGCCTCAGGCTGCCGATTTGGGGAAGAATGCGCAGACCATCTACAGCTCCTGGGCAGACCGAGTCGCCGCCCATTCCCCTTGCCACTTTGGGCTTGAGGGCGAGTGCAAAAGGAAGAACTCCAGCGTGTCTATGTGTGTGTGTGTGTTCTTCTTCGGTCAGCCTTTTTGGTTGGTACTCATAACTTATTAGTTTATAAAATACGGGGAAACAAATGAAAACCAGCCCTTTCAAGGGACCCCAGTTTTGAGATTGCAAGACTGCTTTGAGCTCGTTTCAGGCTACCTCGGCTGGGAGCAGGAGTTCTTCGTCATTAAGGCGGAGCACTACAAGGCAAGGCTGGACGGCTTTGACCTGGCTGTTTCGAGGCGAATGTGCCAGGGGTCAATTATCCGGTGCACCACGTGCACGTGTAAGTGCGCGCGTGGGTCCGTGCGTGCGTGTGTAAGACACCAAAGAAGAACCGCACCAGGCCCTGCAGCGCCGCACCACGCGACATAAGGCAGTACCCCATCAAAAAACCCACAAATCAGCAGCAAACAGCACCGCCGGGCCGCACCACAACACCGACATTACACCTCACCACGCCACACACCACACCACGCAAAAACCTTGCAACACACCACGCGCATCACCCCACAACTTTAGCCACCACCCAACACACCACACACCTCCACAGCACATTACACGCCACCAGTTGAAACAAGCACACTCCAAACAAGCAAAATACAAATCAACAAACACAACCAAAATGCATTGCCAAGTCAGCAAGCAGCCGCCAGCGCTAGGCCCGGCCTGACCTGGTGAACACCGGCCGCACCCTCTTCGGCAAGCTGCCCACGCGGCATCAGCAAGGACGGGGCCTGGGACCCGCGGGCGCGCAGCACGCGTTGCGGCATCCGATAGTCGACGCGTTTGTGCTTCAACGCGTGTATTCCATTGGGATTCGACTTCCGGGAAGTCGGGGCGATTGCGGGCCCCCAGGAAACCTTCCAACATGAGAGTGTTTGCGGGTGATGGATTGGTGGTTGGCTGAAGGTGGCCCAAATTTGCACTGGGCCTGCCTGGCTGCCTAGCATGCGTTTGCACACCCCTGAAGCATGCACATGTTTTTTTGCAGCATGCCAAAAAGAAGTGACAAATAGCCAAACTTCAAAAAGCACCAAGCCGAGCTCATCGCAGCCAAACCTTTGAGCTCTTCCTCCAAACGTCAACGGCCCCTTTATCTCACTGGTCTACTCCGCACAGCAACTGAAGCTCGTAGTCTCTGGCTAAATCGTGCATTTGGCATTGCCAATGATTACAGCCTTTGCCACCAGGAGACCTGAACTACTTTGCCCCAGTCCCCGGAACTGTGCAGCGGCTCGTGCAGAATTGGGATGGCGGGCTGGACAATTTCTGCGGTGGCCAACTTTGTCCAATATGTTTGAACCACCAGGCCAGGTGTTGACAGAGTTCCTTAAAGTGTAAAGGATACAGTTGGGCCAGTCACAGAATCACCTTTGCCAGCTAACTAACTTCATGTATGTTCCAGTAGCCCCCCTGCAAAGCAGGTGGCCTTTCAGGTTGCTGAGATTGGCCCAGATTTCGTGGCCCACTCCAGAAGGGTCGAGTAAAAGCTCCCCTGCGTTTGCCAGAGCTGAAGAAAGAAAGACAAAAAGAAAAAGAAAGAAAGAAAGAAATACAAGACAGGCAGAAAGAAAGAAAGAAAGGAGGCAGACAACATTCTCTTTCGCGGCTTGGCAGACACCGCGCTCAGGAAGCTGCTGGACAAGGTGCAGACGGCAATGCTGCAGGTGGGCTGCCCCATGGCCGTGAAGCACAACGAGGCGCGGAGCCTGGCGCAGTGCTAGGTCGCTGGGTCCCTGCGTCTCTCTCTCTCTCTCTGTGTGTGTTCTTGTTTGTGTGTTTGTGTTTTTGAGCGTGCCCACTTCAAGGCCCCCCCAGTTCTTCGGTTTTTCTTTTTCCCCCTTCCACGCCCGTCCACAGCCCATGTGGCGGCAGCTTCAGGGGCATCTAGCAGGGGCATCTTGCTCAACTTGTTGAACTGGCAGCTGCCCTTTCGGTTTGAAGCGGCCGCAGCCGTTGCTAAAAACAGGGCAAGGGGCATGTGCGTCCTTGCGTTTTTTGAGGGGCACGCGCCACGTTATGCCGCTTTCATGTGTGTGAACACCTGTAGGTCCGGGGTGATTGGATGGCAGTCTGCAACAGTGGGGAAGTTTTTTCAATGTGCCAGCCTTTGCTTGGCTGCGCATTGAATCGGGCAGTTGCCATTTGTTCTGGACTTTTGTCTATATCTTTATTGGGCAACATGCGTATTGGCACGGCAGGCCCAAGTCAATTGTATACAAGAATCCTACTTGTACACAGACATGTTGTATACAACATATATATATATATACAGGTTGCCTCGCGATTTGGCTCAGATGTGGCATGTTTTACCCTTCAAGTCATGCTCTCGCCACTGCGCTGGCACTGCCCACTCGTCAGCCAGGTGGCCCCGGGCCAGCACGAGATGTCGCCCGTTTTCCGTGTGGCCAATGTGTCCTGCGACACGAACGTGCTGTTCATGGAGGCGCTTGATCGGAAGCAAGTTGTCAGGGGCGTCCCTGCAATTTCATTGTTCCTGGTTTTGAACCAACATTGAAACTGGGGATGCCTTCACCACCTTTCCCCGTGGTAGATGTTTGAGTGGGGAAAGTTGGGGTCGAAGTCAGTAGCTGGGGTGATGCTCCATCAAAGCAACCGGTTGGGGAGCGACAGTTTGACACCTTCCCACTTGCGTAAGCAACTGTAAGCCCAACAGAACAGTTTGGCCTGGCCCGTTGACGGTTGATTGGCTGAGTCACTTTGTGGAAGCTGCATCACACCCGAACAGTCGTTGACTTTCAGTCGAACACCGCCTTCCTGCTCATTTCAGTTGCCCTTTAAAGTGGGGCAACATGCGTGGACAGCGCACCAAGATTTGCGAGCAATGGAACTCGCACAGGGACTTGTCTCGTGGCACCACGTGGCTTTGGCCCTTCAATGCTTATAGTTAAACAGACAAGTTCAAGCGTTTACTTCACCAGCGCGCGTGGCTGAGGGAATGCGGGAACTTGTGCCGCAGCCCCTGTCAACTCCATGTTTCAGGGCAAGTGCATTTGTCAGTCAACTTGTTCATTCAAATCACTTGTTTCCACTTTGTTGCTCTTGCCACTTATTAGAATCTGGACAGATGATGGTGGGTCCAGGGTGCATTTTGCACTGTCCAGGCTGGACTTCTTTCCCAAACGCATGCTTTGTGCCAGTTTGGACTTGCCATCCTTGTTTTGTGTGCTTAGGTTTGCATTTCCAACATTCCTGGTTCACAAGCGCGTGGGGGATGCGGCGAGGTCTTGGCTAATCGAAAAAGCAGCGTTGGCACTTCTGGCAAACGGTGGCAGCTTTCGGTCGACCCTCTCTGAAGTGTAACAACTGCCTACAACATCATTTTTGATTTAATGTGCCAGTCAGTCACGGGCAAGCCACCCTTCATATCTTGTACCAACCCATGATCAAGTCAATGCCTGTTCGTTCTGTTTCTCGTTGTGACTCGTATTCTGTCTCGCTCCTTCTTGCATTCGGGCTAAGCTTGGCCGCACAAACTTTCAGCTGTGACCCTTGGTCATGCGCAAGTCGCACGTCCAACAAGTGACTTTGACCCTGGAAGCAGCTAGAACCCATCCCATGCCAACAAGTGGATCAGATACCAGAAGAAAACACGGCCAAGATGCTGGTTTTTGCCGCTGGGTGAGTGCTCCAGCACCCTACTTACGGACAACATCTTGAACCAGGTGCTTCATCTGAGTATTCAAAGTGGGTAAATCATTCATTGCAACAACCCCAAAAAGCCAAAACAAGCGACCTCCAAACCAACCAACCTCCAAGCCACCAAACCTCCAAGCCCCCAAGCCACCGACTAGGGGCCAAAAAAAAGCAGCCGGCCCAGGTCATGAACCGCGAGGCAGCCAAGATGGGGCTCCAGGTGCTCTTCCACGAGAAGCCCTTCGCGGGCATCAACGGCTCTGGCGACTTCGGCTACCGAAAAACGCCTCAGCTTTTTTTCGGGGGGGGGGGGAAACGATGGGTGGGGAAGGTGTCGAGCCAAGAGCCAGAAGTCGAGTGAAAAACAAAACGCAAAGCGGAGGGGTTGGAAGGATGACCCTTCCACTTGAGACCTTTGGGAAGGTCCAGGTCCAGGTCTTTTGATGCCAGCCATCCGGCTTGGATGCCATGAAACGCCGTTTGTTGAAGGTTACCGTGTTTGGCCCTTGACACATCCAAAAGTCGCCTGCAAACAAGGGCTAAGACTAGGTCAATTGCAAGTCAAGGAACACCGAGCAGCAAACCAACGGAAGGCTTGCCTCATGAGAGGCCAACTGCCATTTGGAGGTTTTGAATTTGGTGTGCAGCTTTTTTCGCGTACCAACAGCATACTTCCCAAGAGAAGCTGTGAAACAAGAGGACCCCTTTTTCAGCATGATTTCCAAGATGGCGGCTTACGATTGTTGGTGACGGCGGGAGTTAGGTGAATTCAGTTTGCAGAGGTCATGCGTCAAACCATCAAGACCAACTGTTTCATTTATGCCGTTGCCTTAAGAATGTGGCGCTGTTGCATCAGATTTCTCCCAGCAAGAGTTGGAGAAGCTGTTCCTCTAGCCGCTTTCCCGAGCTCAATGGCCAGCTCACACGTCGGTGCTGTCATGGGAGCTTCCTGTTTCCGGAATTCGGCTCAAGGTGCTCGCCGAAGGTTCCTCAATACGATTTGCGTCAGTGGGGACAGAATTCCTGGGCCCAACCAAAAGCCGGACGGGTCCGGGGATAGAACTGTTTGCAGCTTGGGCTTCCAGGCAAGCACGCGAACTGGTCCATCGGCACGGATACCGGCCTCAACTTTTTCTACCCAGGGAAGACGGAGGAGCTCAGCGGAGGTTGTAAGCCGGGCTGCTTGCAGATGACCAGGATATTATATAGACACACATATGCGGTCCTCAAAAGTGCCGAAAGACGGCTTCGGCAAGCAACGAAACGGGTCCAGAAAAGCGAAATCATATTTGGCAACCCCCCACAGGCCAGTGATGAGGTACTTTGGTGTAGTGGTATCCCACCTTAATTAAAGTACTTTGGGGAGTTACCCCGTCAGTGGAGATGTGGACAAACACTCGCACCATCTCCACGCACCCTGATAGAGCAGAGCAATTTGGGCTTGGTATTTTGGACTTTGTCATTCAATCCAGCGCAGAGTCATGGTTGAAGTTGGTGAATCATGTGGCTGTGGGTCAAAAATAGGTACCCAAAATGGAACCCTGGTGAATGGAACCAAAGACTAAAACCTGCGGTCCCTTGGTGGCCTCATTTTGACCCACACCATCCACACCCATTTGTTCATACCATATTGTGCCCAGTTTGTTTTTGGTCACGGCCCTTTGCTTAGAAATATTACAGGGCACCGAGGAGAACGATTGCTGACCAAGAGGCATGTTGGCCTAAGGTTGATCAACACGGGTACCCCGTAGGGACCCGGTTTCTGCTGAAGTGGGCAACCACGAGCAGTCAACCCGCGAACCTGGCGCTATTGCAGCCGTGGGGAAACGGGGACAGTCTTCCAGAGCCGCGATTCTTCCAACTTAAGGTCCCCTAAGGGCTCAACCATATGCAGTCCTGATAAGTTGATATGCCCAGAACATACTGTGTATTGGCGGCATTGGTGTTGTTGCATAGAACTAGGAACACCCAAACACCCCCCCCTCAAAAAAAAAAAACAAACTAGAATCAATTCCCATGCTGTTTTCAAATTGTCCGTATTCGTCTTCCCTCCCGGGGTGTCTTTGGGGAAGGGGTGTGTTGTTTGGGGCAGGAAGGCGCGAAGCTTTTCGTCACCGGCATCGCCTGCCTCGCCCATGGCTCGCCGCCTTGGAAGTGGGGTGGGGGGATCACATTTGCGGCCATTGGGATGTGGGGTGTCCCTTTGGTGTGTGGGATGTTAACATGGTTGTTGTTGGGATTTGCTTTTTTTTGTTTTCAACATTTTTGTTTATTGTGGTTTAGTGGTGGAAATCTAACCACTCAACTGCTAAAATTTAAATGTTTGCTCCCCTTCCAACGTCAACCAAATTAAGGGGACAAATTGGGCATGTCTGGAGCCGACACACAAAATGGAGCTTTCCTGGTCCATTGTCGCTGTGAAGCCTCAAAAGGGCACCTCCCAAAAATAGATTGCAGGGCTATTGTTTTAAAGTTTTTCCCCGTTGTTCTTTAGGGCACTTCCCCTAAACCGGCCGGACCACCCAACAAAACGGGCCAGCTGGCCCGACGACGGGTCCGCCCTCCCGCGTTTTGGTCGTCGAGGCCTGGCGAAGTACAACGAGCTGGTGCGTTGCTCCGTGGCCACGGCGGGGAACGACCACCGCTTGGGCGCCCAGGAGGCGCCCCCGGCGATCATCTCCCTCTACCCGGGCCAAGGCGCTGGGAGGGGATGGAAACGGCTGGCGCCCGGTTTGGGCTGGTTGGGGGGGGGGGGCAAAGATTGGCACCCTACTCGTTTTGGTGGTAATTATGGTGGGTTGTGGGAGGGGGGGCGTTTCCGGCTCCATGTGTGACTTTCGATGGTATGGTGCATTCTGAGGGAATGCTGCGGAAGGGCGGGCATTGAAGTGGGGTGCTGCGTTGCCGTCAACATGTGCAGGGCATTTCGGGAGGAGGCTGTCGCAATGAAACCCCGCAAGCAAACGGCTACTTCGGGGAGCAAGATCAAAGCAGCCCGCTCACCAAGCACTTCTCAAGCCCTTACATTGGGATGTGACACCTTTGCTTTAGTTGCTTTTTCAGTTGTTCAACGCGTTGCGTTTGGAGTCCCCCACCTGTCCATAGGCAAGGGAGAAACAGATGAGGCCTTTGGGCACCCGAAACAATGCGTTTGTTTGGTTCGATGGCTTTGTCGTTTCCGGCAGTTTTTGCTCATTCACTTGTTACATGAAGGCTAAGATTCCTGGTAGGCGACTGTTGTGCTTTGGAGCCCCCCCCCCCGCCGCAACTAGCAACGAACTCTCCCGCAGGTTTCGAGCAATACGTGGAAAGCGTCATCGCAGGAGGCGCACGCCAAGGGACGGGAGGGGCGAGGCCAGGAAGCTCATTGCCAAGGTCTGGCTGATATCATTAGCTGTTTCAGGATTTGGCCCTTTCACTGTTGTGCTTTTTCTTTTTGACCTGCTTGACTTCCACGGAATCTAGAGAGGTAAGCCAAGCGATGGGCTAGAAGCAATCACAGGTGTGGTCTTTGACTTGCGTGCCTCATTGCCTGCGTGACCGTTATTCTCATTTCAATGTCATGTTGGGCTCAACTTCCCACCGGTAGGTAACAACGAATCATTCTCTGGCATGACTCATTTTGTGCGAGGCCCGGCACAAGAGAACGTGACTTGATTGTCAATACTCTTTCTCACGCGGACAACAGGCAGATGTACATTCATTACCTTTTGTTAGCAACTTGTTTGTTTGGTTCTGGCACCCTAGCCAGAGTCACACATGCTTTGCACGATGGCTTAATGGTTGCGAGTTCAGCATGTTTGTGACTTCTCCTGTGATTTTCCCCAGCCATGCTACCCCGAAAAGTCCACAATCTTCTCCAATCTGCGTGTCTTGCCCCGAGCATCCTAGGGTGTTAGTTGCGGGTTTGGGGGTGGGGGTCGGGGGGCTTCGCTGCAGCGAGCTTGGGTTAGGAGACCTCCTGGGCTACAAGGCCGAGAAGAAGAAGCAGGAAGGGCTCTTGAAAGCCCAGCGATGCGCAGTCTCAGTAAGTCCTACTTGTTTTGCTTGGGATTGTCGCAACGCCTGTAAAGCCGTTGCCATGCTACGGCAAAACGCCAAGCAATGTAAAAGCCGTTGCCATGCTAGGGCAAAAAGCCAACGAGTTTTGGCGGGGTCGCTGATGAAGTTGGCTATGTTGCCTTGTTAGCCAAGGGAGGTGGCCGAAAACGGCGCCAGCAGTTCAGGAGACCGGCTGCTCGCAGGCAATGCACATCGAGGCCAACGTGGAGGAGCCCCGCTGTCCCAAGGGCCACGACTCCAGGGCTATAGATGTCCAATTTGGGCCAGTCGTGAGTTGTAAGCTATTGTGAGCTAGCCTCGGCCACGCGTCGCATTGCGTTTGTTTGATTTCTCGTGGGCCAAATCAAGTTTTGGCCCATGGGAGACCGCGTTGCAGTCTTTCTACTCCCTTAGACGTTGTGAGCGCCAGCGGGCTTTCACGAATTTTGAGCCTATTGATCTTACGGGCGCAGCTTTCTGCCCCGTTCGTGGACTGCGTTTTGAGCCGACCTGTTATGACAAAGCCTCGGGGTGATACAGGCTGCCATCCTCTTGTGCGCGCACCCTTGGACCCAAAAGCGCGCGGTCCACATGGTAGCTACACAAGCAGCACCAAACGTGCCCAACAAATTGCTTGGTGAAGTCGGTCATCGAAGGTCGCCCAAACCCAACCTTTGGGGCGCACGTAGGCGCTGCTTGTGTCATCACACATGGTTTCTCCCCTCTTCAACTGTTACTCTCTCCGGTGAAAGTCGGTGCGTCACAGTGGGATTTACACCTCGCACGCCCAAATTAGTGCTTAAAAACGGACATCTTGACATACTGCGTCACAGTGGGATTTGGCAAGTTTTGCACTGACTTCTCTGACTTCGTGAATGCGCTTGCGTCTCATGCAGGTTTGCTTGTGTAAGCTGTCGTGCACCGACTTTCGCCGCCGAGTGTAGGTTTTGCCATGCCGCTGTATAATTGCCTTGCCAAAGGCGGCTTCAAAACAGGCCAGTGGTGACGCACCCAGTTTGATGAGATTCTTCTGGGGTTTCCTTCCATGGCTCCAAAAAATTGGGGGGGGTGGAGGTCGTCACACACGGACGGACTGACTTGGGGTCGGACCCCTTCCCCCCGCCCGCGCGCGGGCGCTTCCGCTGTTTCGCCGCGACGCGCTGGCAGGACCGGAACCGCACGGCGCCGTTTCCCTTCTGCGGGAACCGCTTCGAGTTCCGGGCTGTCGGCTCCTCCCAGAACTGCGCCTCGGGCGTGGATCCTTCCTTCGGAACGCCTGGGGAAGGAACGGACGCGAGGGGGTTGGAAGGACGTGGGGAATTTCTTCCAGTGGCAGCTGAAGATGTTTTTCCACCTGGTGGTTGTAAAGGGAATCTATCAGTACTGGATTTTTTGTAATTTTTCCCAGCGGACTTAAGCAAATGGAAGATTTGGACGGGCATTGGAGGCTCCACAGAGGGAAATGGAGGACATTCTGTGATTGTTGGATGGGTATTTGGGTATGGGTCAAAATTAAACTATCAGGGGCTAATCTGCATGGTTTAGTCCTTGGTTCCATTTACCTGAAAAGTCCAGTTGATGTCAAGGCTAAGACCTCATTTTCCCATCAGCTTCGGAAGCCTTGGCAGTTTTTTGTTTTTTAAATGTAATTGTGGATGTTTGGGATGCTGTAAAGGTGCGCAGGAGACTGAGCCATTGCAACCTATGAGTTGCTGGTTGCTACTAGGGGCGGATGTAGCTTCGCCTTGTCTGTCGTGGTTTCCTCTTATGATTTCCTTCCGGTTGAAGTGGCTCAAGAGTCATGTCCTTTTGTGAGGGCATCAGGGAAAGTAAACTCACTGGGTGCTGTGTCTTCACGCGCCATTTTGATTCCGTGCAGTGAATCTGGGGTAGTCTTGTAATACTAATCCCAGACGTCCCTGGCTAACGGACGGCTGGATCATTTGCACGCAAGCGGCAAGCTCCACATTTGCAATCGGACAAGTTTGAAGAGGTCCTCGAGTGCGTACTTTGCAAGTAGGCCTGTATAAAATATGTTTCACCCACTTGGGCGATCACTTGTTTGTATGTTTACTGTCCTACCTAATGCCTGCGCTCGTTCCTCACAATGCGAAGCAGCTCCATTGGCCCGCATTTCCATAGAACTTTGGCTTCCTTCCAATGTTTTGTAGGAGTCGCTTGTTCTCGGGATTTGTGGCCACTGGAGCCGTCGCTCGCAGACATTTCAAATGGAAACGTTGCATCTACAGCCGGACTTGTTCGTTAGATGTTCTGCAAGTCTCCTGGAATGTTCGAAGGATTTCGGCCATTGCTTATTTGGTCACTCTGAAGATGAACGATCTGCACAAAGTACTCGAACTCACAACTGGGGGTTGCACCCTCGCCTGTGAAGACGGTTCTTGATGAATTTGACTCGAAATATTTGCGCAAATTACAGCGAGGTTTCGGGATAAAACGAGCTCACCCAGAATGAATGTCCTTCTCATTTTCCGAGTTCATGGACTGAAGACCAATATGGGAAGCCCATATTCGCGGTGAAACAGTTTAGTTTGGTTTCTGCCCATCTCAGGAAGTGAGTCATTCACAGGCTTGCCCTTCTCTTTTCGATCCAAGGGTGGAAATATGTATACCCCTTGGAACCCACATATATATCTATATAACCCTTTTGGGGACTTCCCACTCAGAAGGGGTGTAGACCCCATTTCGGGCAGAGGGGTGTGAGCGCATCCGGCCGCATGGATTTCTTTTCGAGGCAACTTGCCGGTGATGGTCTGCAACGCCATCATGGCCGCCGGCATGGCGCACATGGCGGAGCTCATTGAGAAAGGCTCGGAGCACGAAATCCCACCCAAACCTAAAACTGAACCCACCACAAACCAACCATAAACCAATCCCCAACCAATCCTCAACCAATCCTCAATCAACCCTCAGCCAGCCCTCGACCAAACCAACCCTACTATAGCCCCGGTCTCCGTGTTTTCGGCTTCCGCTTTTGGGGTTCGATCGTGTCCAAAAAAAAAGAAGAGGCCCCGCGGTTTTCCGATCGGGGGTCATTGAGCAGCTGGGTATGTGGCGGGAGCTTGCAGGACTGCTTGGGTCCGGGGTCTTGTGAAACGGGGTTCTAGATCTCTTTTCCTGAGTTCCTGGACTGAATGCTTTTGGGGAAGACCATGAAGACCGTCTTAGCGGTAAGTAACAAGTTTGGACCTGTTCGGGCCATCCACTCGAGAAGTGAGAGATTGATCATGCTTTTAAGTTTCCCAAAAAGACAGCAAAAGGGGATGGGCAATGAACCCCTTTAACGATTCCAAGGGAGATACTTCCTTGGACAATTCCCGCAATGAGGATCCTTTTTTGGGGGAACCACGAAGCCGAGGCTCCGTGAATGAAATGAGCTGGAGCAGTTTTGCATAGTTGAAATGCACCTTAAAAGTTTCGTGGGTAGGCTGGTTTGTCAATCCGTCAAGTGGGTCCCAGTTCACATCATACGTTTCTTTGACCAGAGCCGCTGTTTGCAACGTAGGATGACCTGGGATGATTTGGGGATGTGTCAACATGAATCCCTTGAACCGGGTATCCGCACTCCGTTTTCCAGGGCAACCCATTTTGGGTGCCCACGTTAGGCCCACAACTTGGGGAGCCGGGGACTTGCTTCCTTGAAGGGTCTCGCAACAAAAGTTGCCTGATGGTTCCAGGAGCCTGATGGATGGACTAGGAGCATCAGGTTGATCCCATACGACGACCACATAGCTAACGCTAATTTTCGACCCGAATTCGGAAAAAGACAAGCTACGACCCTAGATGTGTCTGGCTTCTCCGGCCTTTCAGTTTCCCTATTCATCTCATGTCAAACAAGGCGCAGGTCTGTGTGTTGCTGGTGTCACACAACGGACCGCCATTGGCCTGGACTCACCGGCACACTGGGGAGGTTCCAATCATCGTGATGCAGTGGCTGCGATGTTCAAGGACTGACTAAGAAAAGCCGGCTGAAAGGGCAGGCGCTTGTCTTGTTTGGCACCACGCAGATGATGAATCTTGACATGTAGTTGACCACTTTAAGGCATCTCAGGGTGGAGTAGTGCCCGCAACAAAGATGCACATGCACGAGCTGTACACAATGGCTTTGTGGACATTTGTGGGCAAAAATGTAGGTCGAAGTGGTTGGACAGGCAGCAGTACAGTCGAAGAGGGTAGCAGCAAATTTCACAAAACATCTCAGCCGCCACACATGTTTGGAGGGACAACGCAAATCATATTGCCAGTGCCGCACCGGTTCCTTCGAGGTTGTTTGGGGGTTGAGCGGTTGACTTGTTGTTTAGCTGTTTCCGTGTTTCATGTTTAGCTTTATTTGTTGCTTTGTCGTTGAAAAACTGCAGGTTTCCTTTCCCGACAAACCCCCTGCAAAATCAGAACAACACATCTGCACAATTAAACAACAAGAATTCAGCTCCAGACTGAGCATCAAACCTACTCGGGGGAAGCGAGTTCTTCTTTTAGCTTTCTCTGAGTTGAAAGCTGAGGTGTTTTGTGCTTATGTTGGGTCATGCCTTGTGTTGTTTCTGTGTTTTTCCTGTGATGTCTGTGTCTTGCTGAGTGTGCATTTTAAGTTGAGCTTTGAGCTAAGTATGTTTTGTGTTTTTGCTGAGTTTGTTTGTGGGGCTGCAGCCCCCCCTGGTTGATCTCAGAATAAAGAGAAGCAACGTGTAGCAGTCAATATGAACAGTTCAATACTTGTTGCGAGCCTGACAATGCCCCAGAGTCTTGGCACACATTGATTGGCTCGTGGTGCTGCTTTTCCGTTGGATTGCGTGCAGGAGAACAAGCACGTGATTTTCACTGGCAATGGATACTCGGATCAGTGGAAGCAGGACGCCGCCAAGCGGGGCTTGCCAAACCTGAACACCACGCCCAAGGCCTTGGCAACTTGGACGGAGGAGAAGAACCAGGCGGGCAGACGTCGTCCAATTGCCCGGCCGCCTGTTTGATCAGATCTGTAGGCTCATGTGTGGGATTGCGCCGTCATGAACCGATCGGTCTGCAAAAAGAGCAGAAGGCAGCCAAGGAGGAATGGAAGCAGCATGAAGCAGCACACTACAGCATGCTCCTGCTCCTGCATGGGAGTCAGCACCGATGTCGCATTGTGCGTGTGCATCCGAAACGGAGACCCCTGTCAATGCACCAGTCATCAGTTGGCACTAAACAAGGCGTAAGCCAAACAATGGCTTGAACGATTTCTTTGAGTGACAACAGACGGAAGGCAAGAAATGAACCTGCTTGAGGCAATTCTTAGGTACGGAAATGGCAGGACAGAAGTCAGAAACACAAGCGACGCTGAATCTCATGTGGGGCAATATCTTTGCTAGATGTGGCTTCAAACCCCGCAGTTGTCACCCGGACCGGCTCCAGGCCCTTTTTGAGAAGATGGGAATCTACAGCAGGGAGGAGACGAATGCCAGGCAGGAGGTGATGTATGAGAATTACATCACGGCCTTGAAGATGCCTGCCGGACTTAGGGCGGGGCGTGGCCCTCAATAGAGAAGACTTGCCTCTTGAGAATATAACACGAAGAGAGGAATCACCTCCCCCCTCCTGACATTGGATTCTAAGTTCTGCTGGTGGATGCTTTTTCGTTGTTTTTGATCTAGCTGTGCAGACGGATCTCGCCTGACTGGGCATGCCAACAAAGCATGCACAAAGCTGCCATGAGCAAGGAGGGCCGGAATGGTCAGGCATCGGTTCCTCTCACAGGTTGCGCGGCCTTTTTTGTTGTGGCCAATGTGCAACTTCACTTGGAAAGGCCCCTTAGCTGGAGAGAGAGGGGCTTGAAGAGTTTCTGGATTGGTAGGCTATTGGTAGAAGAACCCGCAGCACAAACTGATTGCTTCAAAGGAACCTGTCTTGTAGCATGTTAGTTTTATGTCCGGGCACTTCTGGCAAGGGCAACGGCCAGATTTTTGCCCAAGCAGGCTAACGACGGGGTCATGGCCAGAATAAGATTGTGGCCAGGTTTTGAGACTGCTCCCGACCCAGATCCCCCATGCTCAGCCCCTTCCAACGTCTACATATTTGCGGGGCGCTTTTTGTGCATGGGAGGCATTGCTCCAAAAGGCTTCTTCGCATGGCCAAGGATTGAGGCGGACACAATGATCAATATGGTGGACACCGGCATTGTGCCCGCTTGCGCGAAGGATGGGGAAATACTGTTTAAAGTATGAACTAAGTGCTTTTCTTTGAGAGGGCAAGCAGTTTGCTGATGGCTGTGGGCAGCGGCATAGGCAAGCCTTCTTCGTTTCCGGGGACGCCTTTTTCGCACGTATGAAAACATGTACGTCTACCTATGCATTTGGAAATGCTGCATGCTTTATCATGCTTTGGCATATCATTGCTTCCAGTTGCCGCTCGACACTGCTTTCCCTTTTTGTCCCTAAGGCTGGGCAGGTGAGTGTGCCAAAGGGCACCCTGCAAAAACAAAGCCCCATTGGTCGACCAGGCGAGTGACGACATTGCTAGCCAACTAGTGCTGGCTTTGTTTGAGATTCCTGAGCTAAGACTGCTGGCACTAGAGAGATGCTCACCATCGTTTTGCAGATACTTTCTATTCTTGCTTGCCTTCCCACCCATATTCCACATGTTTTTTTGTCGGAGTACCTCTTGTCAGTCGGCAAGGTCACGAATGTCCACGTGGGCACGTTTGCATGTTGGAACCAATTCCCTAGCCTATACCTACCTGCCCACCAAATAGTCAACCACGCAATCAAGAAACCAATCGATTGATCGATCAATCGCTCAACCAATCAACCAACCGTCCATCTATCCATCCATCCGTCCATCCAACCATCCATCCAACCATTCAACCAACCATCCATCCAACCATCCAAACACCCAATCATCCAACCCTCCGCCCAACCACCCAACCACCCAACCGCCCAGCCAACCAAGCATCCAACCATCCAACCATCCCAGCAATCAGTCCAGTCAATTTGGGTCAAGCCAAGTCCCAAATCACATCCATCACCAGCAAGGCGGCCTCAGAACCCATAACCCGGGCCGACTCCAGGACCTAAAGAAGTCGAACTTCTCCAGCAAGAAGACGGCGGCAGCCCGAAAGGCGGCCTATGAGGCCATCGTGCAGGAGGCCGACAAGCTCAAGGCGCTGAGCCTCAACATGTTTTTATTTGTCCAGGGACTATTTCCTGGGCTGTTCAAAGGCAATCCTTCATCCTTACCTTGGGTTACGCAAGGAATTTGATTCCTTTGAAAGTGGCTTCCCCAGAGGAGTAGGTCGTCTTAGGTGGTACCATGTGGATTTCGTCCTTCCACCGCATCTTTGCAGATACGTAATTACTGTGGTGAGAATTCTCAACAGCTTGCAACATCATCCTTTGGATCCACCTGCTGAGTTAACATCCGTACGAGGGCTGTGAACGGCAACTATGCGCATGTAGCCATCACGCTGCCCCCCTTCACCAACCCCCTCCCCTACCCCATGTAGACTTGGATTCCAACGAACCCTAAGCAACATGGCCATCCAAGACTGAGTCAAGTTCCCTGTGGAAGGGTTGCCCTTCAGCGCCTGGAGCGGAATGCCTTTTTCCGCGCGAGGCGGTTGTGAGCAAGACCGAAGGACCTTTGGCGAAGGACCTGGGGCGGGCCCTTGGGGGAGGCACCGAAGGCGTCAGTCTTTCATGTTTTTCCCCCACGGTGGGTGATGTCTGAAGGCGAAGAAAGTCAAGATTTTGTTTGTCTGCCGACGCCTGTCAAGGTTCTTAGGCCAAGGAGCCGCTATGACTGGCCCCAACTAGATGAACAATTTATGCACACTGGATGTCTGGGTGTGGCCTTGTGAACCGACATGAAGCCATACCTGTTTTCAAGATAGGAACCCCAATGATATGGGCACATGACAACAGAGAGGCTTAGGCTTAGGAAGTCATACGCGCACACATACACGCCTACACAGACAGAAACAGAGACAGACGACAGACAGACAGACAGACAGACAGACAGACAGAGACAGACAGACAGACAGACAGACAGACAGACAGACAGACAGACAGACAGACAGACAGAGACAGACAGAGACAGACAGAGACAGACAGAGACAGACAGAGACAGACAGAGACAGACAGAGACAGACAGAGACAGACAGAGACAGACAGAGACAGACAGAGACAGACAGAGACAGACAGAGACAGACAGAGACAGACAGAGACAGACAGAGACAGACAGAGACAGACAGAGACAGACAGAGACAGACAGAGACAGACAGAGACAGACAGAGACAGACAGAGACAGACAGAGACAGACAGACAGACCGACACACGCGAACAGACACACAGACACACAGACACGCATGCACGCATACACTTTGAGCATGTTTGAACGATTGTTAAAGCTGCCGCCTTTTTTTCCCGACCCGTTTGGTCAGATCATGGGGGTTGGTTGTTCGCTTCGGCCAAGGATCAACAGACGGGTGGTCCAAGGGGGACCTGGCACACCCTGGCCCCTTGTGCCGCAAGGCAAACAACCGTTTCCCGACAAATGCGCGGAGGGTCAGAGCAACAAACACCAAGCCCTTCAACCTCAATCCCATTGGCCCAACGCCCCTCCTAAGCACGGACAACTCAAACCTTCGCCCGAACACGAGTGATGCTGGCGAAGGGTCAAAAGACGAAGTGTCCAAGCGTCGAACCCTCAACCCCGCACACATTCAGGGCTTGCCATCTTGCCCCACTGCTTGCCCCAAGGCCCAGATCAAGCCAAGCATGCACTCATTGCAAGCTGCCTCAGGGCACTGGTGCAAGATTTGGGTTCCAGGACATGTCCTGAGAATCCATTTGGGTGCAATTTGCAGCGTTTCCCTTGCGCTACGTAGCATATAGTTGTATTCCACGCCGGCCTCGACATGTGAGCCTTTTCCGCTGAAGTTGTATGAACCAACGCATGACATCCACATATATATATATATACATGGTACCCGCCCCCCATGGATTTACCTTCCCATGTATAGATATACATATGTATATATATATATATATACACATGTGTGAGGTACCTCCTTCGTACACTTGCCGCCAAGCCATATATATATATATATTCATGGCCCATCGGTTTCGGGTCAGGAGGCAGCGCACCTCTGTGACGCAGTCAAGCCGCAGATGGAGAAGCTCCGAGCAGCGGTGGACAAAGCGGAGGAGCGGGCTCGAGGGAATTTTGTTCAGATACCCAGTGTGAAGGTTCTGAAGATTCCCCAAACCGGAGGTGGCTCGTTTTTTTCTTTTTCAAGGAAGCCTAAGGTGGCTTCTGCGTTCCCCTACATGCATTTTTGGTCCCTCGAATACTTTTCAACTGGGTGCAGTTAGATTTTCAGTCACATGGTTCCAGTTCCAGTTTCCAGAATTCGGGGCGGGGGGGGAGGAACTGAGTGGCTTCTTCATTTGCGTAGTGCTGGCATCGGCTTTACAGTGGCATCTCATGTTTTAGACTTTCCGTTTTGTTGGTTTTCGTGTACGGGAGGCACAATGTGGAAGACAAAACACCTCTGAAATACATTTGCCATATGGGACCTGAAAGTTTGTTTGCGAAATTTCGCTGAGATTCCTATACAAAATGATTTCACGCATCAAATTTGCTTGCCATGTGCGACCTGAAAAATCCTTTGCGGAATTTTGCTAAGATTCCCGTACAACATCGTTTTACGGCGTGCGCCAGCCAGTTTTTCCCAGCGGAAAGCTGTCCCTGCCCGAGGCGCTCATGGAGTCGGGGCTGTACCCCTACCCCAGCTACGAGACCATGCTGCCACCGCTGAATGGGGGCGGAGCGTGAGTGGTTACCCTGAGAGGGTTTTGGCATCCGGCCGTAAAGTGTGAAACATGCCAAACACGGGAAAAGCAGGACGACCCCTGAGTCTCGAATGGCTAAACTTGGCAACTGGACACTGAACGGGGTCTTTTTCATGCTGTCTTGTCTTGTAACTTGGAGCCAGTGAGTCAAAGTTGACTCGGAAGCACTCAGGCCCACCAAGCGAGGCGCTTGTAGACGTCAGCGAACTAGAGAAAATAATGCAACTCAAGGGGCTGAAGCCTAAACCTATTTGCCGCATCCCATGAAAACACTTGGCTCAAGCAATGGCAGTGCGTGATTGGCGATTGTGATCTAGGTGTTTTTCGGGCCAGTGGAGGCAGGAGATACAGGCGATACAGGCGATTGATTGGCAGCCGGCTCCATGTGTGTCGTTGCTGCTGCTGATTGCGCGGTTGCGGAAAAGTTGGGCCAACATTCTTGACCATCTTCGGCATATACTCAGAACAAGCGACGGCCAGTGTTGCGGGGACGGCGCCTAATTTTAAGCAGTGGAGTTGTTTGGTGTGCCGATCTTGTTCGTCAGGATGATGCACATGTGCAGGGAACTGGGCGAATCTGAGCTTATTTCACCATTCCTTTCAGGCCTTGAAGCCGAACGTGGCTGGAGTGCTGCTCCCGAAATGTGACGTACTATGGAACAAGCTCCTATCTTGCTCGCGTTTCTCAACTTTGAAAACCACAAATCGTCCAACTGAAGGCGGGTCATCGAGACCTCTAGGAGCTTTGCACATCGTGGGTCAGAGCAGTGTTTTCTTGCAATGATTGCTGGCATGTAGTGTTGACCCAGGATTAATAAACCCGTCCCAATTAGGGGGGTGTTCCCTCCAAAAGTGAATCCCCACTAAACGGGGACACCCCCCCAATTAGTCAACCAGGGTTAACATTGCGATGGGGTCACCGGGTCCACCATTTTTTGCCGCAGCTTGCGCCGCCGAGGCTGTATTCCCACCATTTTGAGAAGTAGGTCGTGCGCGCGTGGAGAGCGTGCGCCTTAAGCTTCGAAGCCTGGACGTTCGGAGTTTGCGCTGTGAATGGAGGGATCTTTGAGTTCCTGTTGTTAGTTCCAAGAGGGACAGGCAGCATACACGCCTGGATGCTTGAGAAAAGCTCGGCGCGTGTTAATGGGGGTCGTGATGTTGGAAGTGCACTACAGCTGAAGCAGACATGCAAGATGAGAAGTGAGGAATCCCTGCTGACACAGGAGAGCAACAGGCTTGCTTTTGTCCCCTTCAATGGTCTTTTGTCCTCCGCGTGTTGTACGCCATGGTTGGGCCTTGGCAATTTGATCCTTGGGCACAACTCTCACGCCCTCACATGTCGGACACGCTTCGGCAGCCCAAGCCCGAAGATCTTGTCCCGTCTCCGTTGCGAACTCTGCGCGTCTGGCACGGAGGATCCCAAGTTTTATTGACACGGCCAACGCGGCATGCGGTGGGGGGCCAAGGAACCCTTGGTTGAAGCTGTCCTTGGGTGGTATGTTCATCCTTGTCTGGCTATTTGCAAGAGCTGGAAGACAAGGAAAGGGCTGAAGCATGCTGAAGAACTTCTTTGGACATTTGAGGGCCCGTTGTTGGTTGACCAAAACAGATAGTTGACAAATCCCAGCGGCTAACCTGAGCGCCCTTGCGTTTTCTGTTCCACGTTCTCCCCGCTCTCCTTCGAAATTTGCTTCGCGAGCTGCAGAGGTCATTTTGAGCCAGACAGTTTGGAAGGCTTTATGCCGAAGTTGGAAACATATGATCAGGGATCTTTCGGTAGAACACCTCCGGAAACCCAAGGGAAAACGGATCCGGTTTTTGAAAGAAGGATGGTTGAAAAGAATGGAATCGGACTCAACCCCTCGAAAAATGAGAAGCTTTGAGGGGGATGTTGCGAACGCCGCATGCCGCATGCCGCATACCGTCGGAGCGTAGCAGCTTAGCACGGAGCCTCTGAGGCTCCCAGCCGCCCTTCAAACGACAGGGCGGCCGAATCTCAAACCCGCTACATTATGATGGCCGGGCCCCATAAAGCCTCGAAGCGGCGGCAACCCCCAGGAATTCATGTTCGCAGAATCCGGATGGCCGCAAAAAGGATGACTTACCTCAGGGGAAGGAGAACCAACACCGTTTTCCAGTGCATTCTGTCCTGTACTTCGGTTTGGATGATCAGCTTTGTATTAGAATATGTTGAAGGGCTTTCAATGCAC